TATATATATGTTGTGTGGGGGTGGATTTCCCCATTAATAATCAAATTTATAACAGAGTTATTGTTTTGAATGTAACAAGAAGGAGCAAAGGATAAAAAATAGTTTATCTCTACAGCCCATTTAAGTATAATTTATAATCAATATTTTAACAAGCAGCAATAAATATGAGCAAGAATAAATCACAATCAAACAAAAGAATAGAAAACAGCTAAATAACATAGCTTACACACAAAAAACAAACAAATAAAAAACAGGATATCCCAAAGGCTAGTGAAAATAAACGATAGTGAACAATGATTTAAAATGATCAGTGGTCTTCAGCTGCTCTGATTTGCAAAGAGAGACTGTTCCACCAACAAAAAGACTGTCAGCTCTGTTTCTGAGCCTGAATCTAATCATTTGTAAAAGCAATTAACTTGTAGACTTTAATGCTTTGATTGCAATGTTAGGATGTAAAAGTTCAGACTTGTAAATTGGTGTCAAACCATCAGGATTCAAGTCAATAACATTTTAAACTTGATTTTAAAAAACTGCACGATCTTATTAACATCATTAGTCTCAAACAACACAAAATTTTGCTTTTTAGGAACTGATTTAAATTATTTAACTTAGTTACTTGTAAATATCTGATCCTCGGATCACCACATGAAGAATTTAGAATAAACACTGCAGAATGATAAAGATTTGTATTTCCGGAAATCCGTATTTTTTTAACAAGACAATACAAAGCCACTTTCTGCACGCAAAGGCATATGCAGAGGAGGAAGACAAAAAATCTACTTGACTGTCTCGTTTGCAGATCTAATCTGATGACAACAAACACAGCTGTGATAAGATTTAAAGAGAAAAATGCAACTACACAATAGTTCGAAGTGAAAAAGCACCCTCCCTCAGTACTACTGCCAATCATTCTAACAATACCGAGAATGTATTTTATTGTGAAAATGACTGGAGGCATGCCAATGTAGACGTTTTCTTTCCTTTTTTTAAAAACTTTTTTTCCTGGAATGTGCTTCTGGGTGAAACGTGAGAACGGTATTTTTTTCAATTAAAATAAATTCAATTC